TAGGGCATGACCCATCATGAAGAGGTTAAACCCGCACCTTTATAGTGTGAGAACACCAATCTTTTCTAATTTTCCATTGATCATCTGTAATCACTTAATGAGCTCAGTTATCAAACTGGGATGGTTATTAATGTCTATTCATTCTTCATTGCCACTGTATCGCATTAAGTATAACCCAGAATTGATGCAATATTGAAAACAAAATATTTCTCATTGTCAAGTAATGTAGTCTCCCATTGCTGTTAAAAACTCAATCATGAAAACACACATACACAGATTATTGTTAAGAACTTTATATTTAAATCTTAAAACATATTAAGTAAGCATAATAATGATAAAAGAACACATTAAATGCATAAATATGAAAAAGTAGACAATGATAATTACCAAAAAAATATTTTGACAAGTGCATAGTAATGCACGAACTACTTGACACATCGCATTTATAAGTCACTTGTATTTATTTTCGCAATGTAAATAAGATGAGTGACTTAGCTACAAATGGGTGATCTTCACTGTTCTTTTAGGTCTACCACTTTTGTGAGGCATATGCACAAATAATGCCATAGAAGAACTTTTGTGTTGGTTTGCATTGTTCTTTCATTTCATATGGGTATTATTACTCGACTCCACCACTATCTCCAACTACACATTATCCATTTTTTCTCTTACTATACCTTAGTATATATTTACTTGGTATTTTTTTTCTTTAGTTTTATATAGCCATCCAACCTTCCAATTGGTATTCCAGAATGCCACTTTCTTCTCCCTATACCCTTTATGTAAAGTTGTGAATACATGTATAAATAAATTGGGAAATATTCAGAATGGTCAACACTCACATGACTAATCACACCAATAGTGGGATGGATGGAAACCTTCCTAGTACCCCCAATCTTGGCCTGGATACCAGAGGAGGGCATGCATGGTACCTTAGAAATTGCAGGATAGAATATGAATATACAACACAGGACAACAAAGAATCCATCTTGTATGTACAGAAGGATAGAGCATAAGACAGACTAGGCATTGGGCACCCCTGCATGTTGGTCATCTGCTCTAGCCTGCCCTGAAGACATAGGAGATTTTTTGTCTTCCAGAGTGACATCCCCCCCGGGGGGGGGGGGGGTTACAGGGGGCACAACCTCCTGCATTAGACAATATAGTGAAGTATTTCATAAAAGTTATTCATATTCTACTTCATAATTTTCCCTTTACTTTTCATGCCCTCCCTGGTATTGTAGCCAATAACATTGGGGTTTGGGGTGTTTACAAAAACATTAAAGAATAAGAGTAAATGATGATTGAGTTCTGTAATCTAAGTTCATCTTTCATATTCAAACTTGTAATCACCAAATAAACATTTTGAAAAGCAAAAATGCCTTATTCCATCTAATTGCATTTGAAACTTGATGTTGTGCTGGAAGTTTTAAAACCACATGATAATAGTCATTCAATTAGGAACAAGTTACAGATTTATTAGCCTTGACATGTGTATAGTAGGCATGGGGTTATGGTAAGTGCATGGCATAAGTGTCATTATAAACCTACATACATGCATATATGATTTTTTTTTTTTTTTTTTTTTTTTTTTTTTTTTTTTTTTTTTTTTTTTCCTACCTTTTTTGTTTAATCTTTATTGCACCAAACAAACAGTGCATGAAAATATTAAGACTCCCTAGTACTATCGACTTTGAGTTGTTCAATTGCCACTTTTCAAAGTTTACTAGTACAAATACTAACATCTTAAAAGACTCTCTGATATCATTTAACCCATTGCCGCCTGGGAAAATGAACAAAAAATCGGGGAAATACAGTACTCATTTTTTATATTTTTGTGAAATATCTCTGTCCATAGATGGCTCTGCTAGTCCTGATTTCACCTTTCCTTGAATTGGCGGGAAACAACGTATTCTTACTAGTGCTATAAATATAGATGGTGTTATTTTTAACAACAAATTAGGATAACGTTAAATATTTTCGTAAATCGATGAAAAGGGTGAACGGGCGAGACAGGCAGTACTCGTAATTGGCTCATTGGATACTTAGTACAAGTGTAGCCATCTATGTGTAAAAACAATCGAACAAGTCGGCTCACAGTGGGCATGGCATATACGTACATGCCATCCCCGGCAGCAATGGGTTAATGTGGTAATGAGATAGAAGTACTGCTGCAGTAAATCTTTAGTCTTAAATTAGTACCTATTTAATATCTTTTATGTGTTTATGTTTCACCCCCCTACATTTGTTGTATTTGCACCAGCTGAGGTGTGCAGTGCCACTTGTATTTATCCACAAGAGGACTGCAGTCAACAAGAAAATGACACAGTTAACATTTGACAATAAGTAAAAATGTGGCAGGAAAGTTTTCTTCTATAACTGTAAACTTGCAGTATTGTAGGCATCTCATAAGGACAATGTAAAGACTATTTTTATGTGTGTGGAACCCCTCCAGACCTGCCTATGACCTGCAGAACCATAGACAAAAAATCATCATCATCATCATCATAAAGAAAAGTTTAATCTTGCCTTAGTTTTCCAGCCTCTCCTGGGAATCAACAAACATTCCTGTATAAGCCAAAAACCTTCCCCCCCACATTTTCACCCTATCCAATATTTCCACATTAGGGGTCTGCCCCCTGGTCCTCAACCCAATTTCCTTTCATTGTGTCAAGATAGAACTACTAGTAATGTAAATAACATTCTAATAATTTTGATGGCTATCATAATAATAGCAGCATTGATTAGTATGAGTCAGAATCGTGCTGTAGAACAGAACAAAAGTTCATGTACAAAATCACTCTTTACTAAATGAAAGTCCATCATAATCTTTAAAATTTTAATCATATGATTGGTTTATTGTACATAATCTACAGTCATAATCAAAAATAGCATAAGAAATCACTAACAAATGGAATTCTTCCAACAGTGATAGACTACGATTTTCCCAAGTCAAAGGAGCAGTGCAGGGAAAAGCTTCGTGAAGAGTTCGAGAAGCACCGTCATGTGCAGGACATACGCGTCATAGACATGTTGGTCATCAAGGTGAGTTATATCCTTTGCGCCCTTTTTAACTGTAACATTCAGTTGGTTTGGCTTTCTTTCTCTTTCTTTTTCTCTCTCTCACCCTAGATGTGGGAGAGGGAGAGGGAGAGGGAATGATATTCTTCAAATTCTTTGTGCGAAAAAAAATTAAAGTTGATCTCTGCGTTTGTGTTGCAACATTTCTCTGTGGATACTAAGTACAAAATTGTTGATTAAAAAAAATAAATGGCCAAAAGTGCTCTATTTGGCAAGTAATATTTGTTTTGCAGTATTCCTTCATATTCTGATTTCATATGACACCCACTAGAAGATTTTTCATTGTATGAACCTAAATTTGGAACTTGTTACTTCACCTTGGTTGTTGTGAAGCTTAATCATATGTTTTAATCTTATTTTGCATTACAGAAAAAAGTTACTCTTTGGTGTATATATTGTGAGCACACACTTCTTGTCTTAACTTTTACTTATCTTGCTACATATATTTTCTGTATTTTAATGCATAAATAAAATCTGCTCATCTCCAGGGCCAGATGGAGCTGAAAGAAACTGTGGAAATCTGGAAGCAGAAGCATGGCCTCATGGCCTACTGGAGGGACAGTGTTGATCCCAAGCCCAAGGACTTCCTCAGCAAGTTCTTAGATGGCCATGATTGAAGAGGCTAATATTTATGTTTAAAATTTAGAAGTGGGTGTTTTTTAACCTCAATGTTTTTTTTTTTTCTGGATCTTCAAGAAATTTATTGCTGACTGTAATTTGATAAGAAAGGTATTAATATCCTTTCCTATGTTCAAACAACTCTCCCTGAGGTTCTAAATTTACTAAAAAATACAATGTAAATACATCACCTGTGTAGATATTTATATTAAAAGAGTAAGCCATACATTTTGATTTTGCTTTCCTATAAAGAAAAAATACTCTAGGCCTATGAATATACAAATTTTTTTATAAATCCATTTTTTTCTACTTCAAGCTATACTTATCTTTTGATCATATAAGCTAAATTTCTACATTTAGTTGACACATTGTCAGTGATGAAAAGGTTTCAAACAAACATTCAAATTATCTATAAAACCATTTATTCATAGATAATACAATACACCTTTAAGCAGTGTTGACAAATTAGCAGAAATCCTAACTGAAAATCACACAAAATACACACATCTCCTCTCATACAGTATAGACGCACAGGACTACTGTGGCATTGGCTGGATGTTCAACTCAGCTCTGAAAAAAAAAAAGTTTGAAGGTTAAAAATGTGCTTTCACATATCTTATTAACAAATTATCAATTTTAAAGGCCTATTCCAGTTTCTACAGAAACATATGGAAGAGAAAACTAATCTGGATTTTAATGAACTATTAAAATGTAAAACTAATAAGTACTGAACAGTAAAAGCAGCAACAAAAATTTTGCCCTGTATGACAAGAATATATGCCATGCCCAATGTAATACAAGTTTATTTATTGTATTTACACATAGATGGTTCTACAAGTGCTTAGTCACCAAGGAGTCAGTTATTAGTCCTATGTATCTCACCTGTTTACTCTTTTCCTCAAATTTTGGAAAGGGTCTTTTGCAGTATTTAATTGTTTTAAATGTTAGAGATTTTAATAACAATTCAATAATCATAACATCAATAAAAGTATCGAGGTCATCTATTAAAAAAAAAACATTTTCCCGCTAATTCAAGGAATGGGAAAATCAGTATCAGTATCAAACACTAGGGCTACTGATAGACTCCTTGCCAGCTGAGCACGTGGAGCCATCTGTATGTAACAATATTCACAAAAAAACTACAGGGAACAGAACATAAATCTTGGGCAAATGGGTTAACAATAAATATAATGATTGACCAAGAAATCATACAAGTAGTTTTACATATATATAAACTATCCAACACATATAAAGACAGGCTACAATGGAATGCATGTATCTCCTGACATATTCCAATGCAACCACCTCTACTCCACATTCCATAAGTTACAAAACTTGCAATCTCTCTCACCTCAGTTGCTGGGAAAAGTCATCCTCAATGTTGTCGTCATCCCAGTTGTCCTCCCACACATTCACATCTTCTGCATCTTCATCAGCTGCACCCCAGTCTGTCAAGGAAAAAAAAAAAATAATAATAATAATAATAATAACTGTTGCTTGGTATTCCAGTCTTCCAAAGTTTGTGGAAAGAGGGACAGTGATAATTAAATCCAGAATTGATAATTATCTGGATATATACATTTATTTATTACTTTTTTCTTCTTTATAACCTGTATCAAACACCAAATTTCCCTGGTTTGAAGTTGAGTTATTAGTACAGATCATTTTTTTTTTTTTTTATCCTAAACATATAAGGTCTATGCTGCAATCAAGGTCTTTCTAGAATTTTCTGATAAATATGCCTCAAATTACTACAAGTTTTTGCACACTTTCCTCTCAATTCTTTGCTTTCTTTTTAAAGCTAAGCAATATATATACAATATATATACAAGAATTATATACTAATAGTTAATTGTGTTCAAGCAATGTCTTACCCTACTCTAAAAAAAATTGCCTATTCCTTTGATTCTTTGGCTTTCGGCTTTAGTCTTTAAACACTATTCATACTCCTCCTTTCATGAAAAGCCCTAAATAAACACTTTTACATACCTTCTCAATAAAAATCTGGGACATCATCTACTACTACATATTTTATGAAGTCTATGAACTATCCTTCTATATTTACAAGTTAACCCCTAGATGATGTGATTGCCTCATGAAGAAAAAAAAAAAAAAAAAAAAAAGGCTTGAGGAGTGGGTGACTTGAACATGACGTCATGTGAAAATTTGGCTGTGGACGGGTGCACTTGCTATCATGAGGACTTCAGCTGAAGGCTGTGGAAAGTGCAAAGGTCTTGAAGAGGGATCAGACTCATTTGGGGTTTTTGCATTATTTCCATTGATAAACAAGTGTGATGTACCATCCAGGAGCCCTAACTGGAAGAATGCTTCTGCATGGAGGGCACAGTTTTCATGCTTAAGATCCTATTCCTGTTGAATTAGAGAATTGAATATTATGTAAAAAAAATTTAAATGACTCAAACAGCTAAATGTTACTTATTGTCATTATTATTGCACAGAGCTAACGAGAGAGATGATGTGGAGTCTGTACAAGGAAAACAGTCCAATACAATTTGGATAAAACAAATCAAATGACAAATACAGATATTGTAAAATAGCAAAAAATCTGAAAATGCTTATGCAGAAAAAGAGTAAATAATAATGCAAATGGGAGGCAAGGAGTCTTGTCACTGCACACAAGCATTCACGTGCACCAATCCTACAAGCTGCACACCCATCAGAGTAGCTGTTCAAGTAAGCTTAATGCCCCTATTTTATCTTTTTTTTCCCTAGCACTTGGATCTGGGAACGTGTATGGCAGTATCACAAGGCTAATATTGTGGTACAGCATGACACCCTAGCTCAGGCTCCTTTGCCCAAAAGAGACAGGGGAGAGGAAGGTGGATGCAGTAGTTGTAATACATAGAAAACTCAAAGAGGAGAAACAGAAAAGGAAGCCTGGGGCCCCACAAGATTCTGCAGCTGCCACCACCCCAAACTACTATCTATCATATCAAAATCCATAATTTATGCTTCTGTGGCCAAGTCTATGCTGCTGTAGACTCACTGCTTTGTGTTCTATCAAAAGCCAAAAAACTTCTTTTGCATATCCTAGCAATAAATAAATATTGCAATAAATAATATTGCTGGCTTCCAATGGAGCTCAGTGGCTTTGTTTAAATAAATTTAATACGTTTTCTGTTGATTTTTCTGCTAATTCAATGCTTTATTTGTATCTTACTTGAAAGCATTTTGAAAGTCATTGCAAGCTATATTTCAGAAGAATAAGTAACACTTGTATAAGAAAAGTTGTCTATCACTAAGACTAACAGATTTTGTTAATCACAACTGATGCAACTGATGATTGCTGTTAGGCAGTAAAAACTAACTACAAAAACAATTCTGATTATAATTATCCATAAAGGCAACAACCAATTACCATGGCAGCCATGCTTTTCCACACTGTAAAAGGCTGACAAAGCTAATAAAAAAACACCACCTTCAAACTGATGTTCAGACATTCCCCTAAAATATATAATGAGGTCACTAGATATGTATTTACAAACTAGCAACCAAACAAATTACCATAAAATGTATGTATCTCCTGACACCTCAACATGCACCCAACCATCTCCTACCCACAAACCACAAACTTATAGATTAATATTTATGGTATGGATGTACTAAACTCAGGCATTTTGAAGATGATATTCTTGTAGGAGACAAAAAGTTACAGTCATCTGTACAAGAAATATTCTGCAGTCAGGAACACTAGTGCCACAAATAAGGGAAAAAGATCACAGAAAGTGGCATTCACAGCCTAAGAGTTACAATTCTTATCTTGCTATGCATACCAAGGTGAAATCAATGTTTGCCAGGGAAGAGCACCCCAATAACCCTCCCTTTAGGCAGTGCACAAAGGGCACAACCAGTCACAGCAACTAAGATTACAGAAGTAATTTTGAGACAGAGTAGGGGACTTAGTATCCGGCAAACACATCCATACCGTAAAGAATTACCAATTTATATTCTAGGAAGATAATTTGCAGACCTACCTGCTAATTTATTGCTAACTAAAAAGATAAAAAGAACTGTACCAGTATACAGTAATCACTACAGAGCCTAGGGGCAAAGAGCCTCTTGGATCATATGGCAATCTTCTAGGTAGTTAGTGTGTCTCCTGGAGTCACTGGGTTAATTTGAATGAAAATAATTATGGATAATTTTCTCTAACCAGTCCCCATCTTAAAAACTACAAGTTTGGTACTGATGGAATATATTATGGCAATTCTTTACAACAGGAACACATTCCTCAGAGACCAAGTTCCCAACTCTACGTCAAAAAATTTAATCACTGCCCAGGGGGAGGGTTGATGAGGCCATCCCCCAACAAACATTGTCTTCATCTTGGTATGCATGGCAAGATAGAGCTCAAACTCAGGAGTACTGAGTGGACTTCAATTTGCTCTGGTGAAGCTTGAAAATTCCAAGGAAAGTCCCATAGGTAGCTGGCTGCAGTAATATAGCCTGCAGTCATAGCAAAAACAATTACCCTCAAGGGTATTTACTATCATGAGTGATGCACCCTCCAAAGAAAGTACCAAAACCAGGGTGCTAAAAATCCAAATCTAATCTTTCCTACTTTCTATTCACTCATAGATTGGGGGAAAGCCCCCCCCCCCCGTATCCCCCCTTTATTAGCACTTTGTGCCAACTTACAGAAAACACTACAGTTTGAATGTTCTGTGGACTTGGTCTTTGAGTGGTGATATGCTGTGAATATTTTTGTCATTTCACAGTAATTTTGAGGCACAGCAGTTGTACCCGTGTTGTTTATGACTATTTCTTATTCTCTATAAGGTGGTAGTGTCGATTTCCCTCTATCTCTGTACGCTGCTCACGGTAACATATATATATATATATATATATATATATATATATATATATATATATATATATATATATATATATATATTTTTTTTTTTTTTTTTTTTTTTTTTTTTTTTTTGTCCCATGTTCATGTGAACGTAGGGGACATGTTCGCAGAGAAACATGCTTACTAGGCCGCGGGGTGATGCGGTAGGGTGGCCAGCTCCTTTCCGCCCCGATTTTGACCCCAACATGCTAACGTCAGCATATCAGTACTCATTCACAGCTGAGTCGACTGAGAGGGGCAGCGGCCGGGCACGAACCCGGGACCTTGCGATTGCAAAGCCAGCGCTCTACCACTGAGCTATGCCACGCAGGTGAGACACAGGCTATAATAAAGCATAAACACTGATCTAAGATTGTTAGAATTAGTGCAAGGATGAGGGCACTGTGCGGCGGCAGCCGATGGTTCTAAGGGTATCAGTGCATCGTATGAGTAACGGTAACATTAACTATCCTAATGATATCTAGTGTATATTATGGTGGACTCAGTCAATGATAGGCAACAACAGACCCGAGTGGTGGAGAGAGTACGAGACACTAATGAGAAAAGGTTGGAATTATGGGATTTATGTGGACATTTCTCTTATTTGATTAGTAGACAGATTGACATTGATGGGAATCCACTGATAACAAATTTGCTGGGTTTGAGATGCAAACTCATTCTGAAAAATTAGTACATAGTTTGGTTAATATTTCATAGAACACAGAGATAGAGGGAAATAGACACTGCCATCTTATAGAATAATAAACAACAGAGGAATAGCTGCTCCAGCCTCATACTTACCATGAAATGATGATAATATCCACGTCACATCACCGCTCTTAGACTAAGTCCACAACACCCTCACATAGCCAGTTCTTAGGTTATGACTCCACACATGGCAACATAACACAATGTCTATTGACTATTTCACCAGAAGTTCCGGTCAAACATGCAGTGTGAAATTCTCAAACTCTACTGTAATCACAGTACCAAATCAGTCGCTATCTTCTCCAATGTCGGGCTGGAGTCCACCTAAAGTGTGTCCGGAACCTTTTGGCGCGTCAGGAGTGCGTCCGGTAGAAAAATGCGCGTCAAT